AGGTGTTACTTCGGACTGAGTAGGCAATTGAGAAGCAAAGTCCTCTCTCGACAAACAAAAACCAAACTCTATAAGTCACTCATAATTCCCGACCTCCTATATGGTGCAGAGGCTTGGACGATGTCAACAACGGATGAGTCGACGTTGAGAGTTTTCGAGAGGAAGGTTTTGCGAAAGATTTTTGGTCCTTTGCGCGTTGGCCACGGTGAATATCGCATTCGATGGAACGATGAGATGTACGAGATATACGACAACATTGACATAGTTCAGTGAATTAAAAGACAGCGGTTACGATGGCTAGGTCATGTTGTCCGGATGGACGAAAACAGTCCAGCTCTGAAAGTAGTCGACGCAGTACACGCCGGGGGAAGCAGAGGAAGAGGAAGACCTCCATTCCGTTGGAAGGACCAAGTGGAGAAGGACATGGCTTCACTTGGTATACCTAATTCCAATACAATTTTGTGTTTTGAAAAGTCCAAGAGCTTCCATTGAAGGGTGCCAAGGCTGGTCTGGTTACTACACTTTTATTAGATTTATTCCGTTTAAAGTTTTGTATTTTATAGGATCCACCGTCAAGGATATCATTTATCGTGATAACAACATAATGGAATAGTTAAATTGGTAATCTACATTTTTTAGTGACATCGTAAATCACTGAAGGAATAGTACATATATAAATATGTATGATGTACCCCATATTCACAGTCTCTGTATCTGCTTCGTATACCGTTACACATATATATAATATGTTTCTTGTTATAGTAAATAACAGCACAGGAGTAGAGCAGAAGAGAGCGGGTCTCACGCCCTATAGCGAATCATATGGTAATGTAAGAACACAGACTTGATCGTTCCTCGTAAATTTTGCATTGTTCTATGCACTGCTTCAGGAATATTTGTCAGCTATTATGCACTCATCTCAAATTATGATTCATCCTTTTCTTATTCAGTTACAACTGTGTATGTATGTGTATATAAACCAAAACCACTGCACCCTCTCAGTAGTTGTGCAATTTTATTTTGTATTTTTTGAAGAAAAAAATGTTCAAATGATTCTTACATGAATATTGAGCACATGCTTACGTTTTGAAATATATATTTTTTATTTATGAATTGTTGTGACTTTTAGCATAAAACGATAGAAAGTATCCCATGCCCGGCCCGTGGTTCAAACCACAACAGTAAGCAGTATTCCAGACCAGTCTTTCCCTTTTTGAATATATAGTATATTGTCGAAACAAAACTTAAAATCAATAAAACAACCTTAACCAAAAGTAAACATATTAAATAAAAGCGGCTTGTCAGAGCTGAATCACACACGAATACAACTCGTAGGTAAGATAAAACGAAGAGCACCAACTTGCTCCTACTCGTGTAAATTTGAAAGAAACTCATATCAACTTTTGTATATACTAGGGCAAATAAACAATAATACAGGATTTGTTTTATGAAAGACTCGTTCATTTCTTAAAAAATTTTCAAAATAGGCCACATCTGTAGCCATTCACAAAAAGACGGTGTGCGCCGGGGCGTTGTCTTGGTGCAACTTCCAATCGGCTACGATGTCTTGTCGGACCCGATTTACCCTTCGTTTGAGTCTCTTGAGGACTTCCACGTAAAACATGGCGTTGACGGTTTGTCCAGAAGGAACAAATTCATGGTGGACGATGCCTTTGACGTCAAAAAAAAAAAAAAAAAAAAAAAAAAAAAAAAAAAAAAAAAAAAAAAAAAAAAAAAAAAAAAAAAAAAAAAAAAAAAAAAAAACAGTGAGTATCGTTTTCATTTTGGATTTGCCCATTTGTCGTTAGCGACCTCATCCCGGCCCTCCAAAACGGCCTGGCGACACCGAAGCACACCACTTCGTGCTAAAGCAACATCTGGCTAAGCCTGCTTGATCATATCAAACGTCTCTGTGTCAGATTTATCGAGTTTTAAACAGAATTTAATCGCGTACATCTGCTCTAAAGAATGCTGCATTTTCCGGTTGCACCACTCACAGAAACACGTCGCTTGAAAATGTTGGTCCTGACTCTCCAGGAGCTCGGAGACAACTGACCAGCCGCTCGTTCCTTAGCTAGGAACACCCTCTACCGAATGCAGTTAGTGCGCGCACGCTTCGAAGTACAGTGGCGGCGGAAGAAAATCAGTCCTATTACTTTTCGGACCAACCCTGTATCTGCATAAAAAAAGATTTCAGGTTCTCTTGTGACATCATCAAAACATATACTATTTTAAAAAGTACAAACATGAGTTACATTTAGAGAAATTATTGCTAAATACAGACAAAATATTTATAATTTTTGTGATGATGAAACCTCTCGCCTTGTTTGTCATTAAATGTACCCAAAATTGACGGAAAGAAATCGAGATGAGTGTCCATTATATGTATTTTTAAAAACATAGTAGACCTCAATTAAAAGTTGATTTATCAGCCCTTTGTAATTTTCCGATTTATGGTTTCTTAGAAAATTTTTGACGATGTTCACAACCAGGCGAGTTTTTCCGGGTCATTTAGTTTATCTTCAAAGCACTTGTGCTTCACCATTTGCCATATTAGTAGTCCTACAAATATTCCCTCTTTAATTATTTCTTCGCGAAGTTTTTAGAATTCTCTTTGAGATAGACCAGGTATTATGTAGAGTGAGTCTGTTGGCCGAAGACGAGTTTGGATCTAGTATCCAAAGTGTGTTTAGACTTGTTCGTAATGGTTTTTGTTTGAGTTAAACAAAAAAAACATTTAGATGATCCTTTGGTTCCTTTCAAATAATTGGTATGGCAAATGACATCTGTAAGGGTTCTTGTGTAGCTTGGGCAGTCAGCCTCACTTATGAGGATGAGGATGTTGTGCAATGTAATAGTTGTCGGAATCAGAATTGAAACCTTGGCTAACAGAAACAAAGCATGACAGATTTCAAATGTAAGTTATGAAATTGTTAAGAATTTATTTATCTCAATTTATGTAAGGAAAAATATAAGAATAAAACACGAAGTGTCTTTATTATTGAGTTTTTGGAAAAAATCCGTATATTAAAAGAAGATTTACAAAACGTAATAAACATAATTTAACACCCAAATACGTCTTTATTCATTCGATAAATGTTATCTCTTAAAATCTTCCTTCAAATCGGAACTCATTAAAAACGTTAATAGGATTGCTTCCAAATGTATTCATTTGCATGTTTTGTCACATTAGTAAACAACTGCATCAAATAATGGTTTAGCGTATGCTCGAAAAGACGAAAATCCAATCTGTAACACCATCGAAAATCAGAATAGGTTTGCAGTCCGATAACTATTTAAATCTGCCTTGGATTCCACAACACCCCTGAGCGTCGTGAAATTACGACGCCAAAATTTAAAAGTTCATTTTTCAACCACTTAAAAAAACCATCAAAACCCATTTTCATTAGAACACACCATGTTGGCGATGTAATAAACGTATATACTAGTATAACGTAAGTTAGACAAATTCAATAGTTATGCAGTCGTATACATAAAGATATTCAAAGCAAGTAAGAAAGCGCTAAGTTCGGGTGCAACCGAACATTTTATACTCTTGCAACTTGCATTAATCAAAGCTAGCGAAATATCTTACGACGTCAACCAGAGGATCGGAATAATTTTACATATGCATACACCACATATAACTTATACACTGACCTACATATATATTCGGCATAAGATTTGTTAGAAAAACCAAAATCATTATACATAGTCATTATACTGGTAATGGATATATGATTGCTAGGTCAACTTTCGCCCAATTATATCCACTTTAGGCACAATGATATACTGTTATGAGTCAAATAAGTTCTGAAATTCCCATTGAAATATATCCAGCACTAAGTCACCAGGAAATCTTTATATTGGGCATCAGGGAAGTTATTGAACTGATTCCATCCATTTTGTATACGCAGAATTACTATTGCAGAAAAAGAATCTCGTCTGAATTTCTATTACATTTCTCACACATTGACCGATATTTTCGATCAAAAGTCAACTATAGGTACTGGGTACCTAGAGTGTTGAACAATTTTAGGTGGATTTGAAGAATTGTCTGTCATAAGGTGGCACACATTAAAGGCATTATTCGTCAATCAAGTGGAATTTAAAATTGTGCTATATGGGAAGTAGGCGTGGTTCTTGTCCGACTTCGCTCATTTTCACAACGTGATATAGGAATATGAAAAACATTCCAAATTTTATCGAAATCAAAAAGTGGGCGGTGCCACGCCCATTTCCCAATTTTTACTACGGTCCCTATAAAGCCTTGTCATACCATCACGGTGGAAAATTTTTACGTTTCTGGGGCATGTAGTTATCGGTTTATCGCGCTTTCAGTAGTTTTGAACAGTACCGTTATATGGGGAGTGATCGGGGTTTTCATCCGATTTCATAAATTTTCACACTATCGGTAAGAGTTCATGTAATACTCAATCTGGTTGGTTTCAATTTGGTTGTTGTTTCTTTGGTGGATTAGGAGATATACACATTAAATATATTAGAGAGTGGGGCAACGCCCAATTTCTAAAAAAAATCTATCAACATATGCCACAGATGTGTTTGTTTATGTTATGTCATTTATTATGTCGACATTTTCTAAGGTAAATATGTTCAAGGATAAATTGCCGAGAACAAATTAATTATTTAAAATGAGTGGATTGTATGTATTCTCATAATTGTTGAGATTACATATTTTAACAAAAATCATTTCAAAGATCGTATGGCAAAAACAGTTCTTACCAGTATCTAATGATTTATGTAAATGTATATAAATTTTTATTTTTAGATTTCCAAAAATTAGAGCGAGAAGCTAGAATTTGCAGAAAACTACATCATCCTAATATCGGTAAGTTCTACTGTCCCGAATATTTTTAAAATTCATTCAACTTTATTGAAGCTCCAAAAATTCAATATATAATATTTTAAAAATACATAATACTACATGCATATGATATATTTTGTTACATTGAGGAAAAAATTTTAAACTTTACTCTGCATTTTTTCTTTCACTAAACCATAATGATTCCTATTACAGTCAGACTGCACGATAGCATACAGGAAGAAAATTATCATTATTTGGTTTTTGATCTGTAAGTATTTTTTTATCTATATACATATTGCGTGGGAGAATGTGATTATATATTGCATATTTACATGAATGTCTGTATATAGCGAACTATCGTGAACGTTCAAAGTGAAATGCATTTTTTCAATTTACAATTGCAGTGTTACTGGTGGTGAGCTGTTTGAAGATATTGTTGCACGTGAATTTTATTCAGAGGCTGATGCATCGCACTGCATCCAACAAATTTTGGAATCGGTTAATCATTGCCATCAGAATGGTGTGGTGCATCGTGATCTGAAGCCAGAAAATTTACTATTAGCTAGTAAAGCTAAGGGTGCAGCTGTTAAACTCGCCGACTTTGGCTTAGCCATAGAAGTTCAGGGCGACCATCAGGCATGGTTCGGTTTTGCCGGCACTCCTGGCTACTTATCGCCGGAGGTGCTCAAAAAGGAGCCATATGGCAAATCGGTAGATATATGGGCATGTGGTAAGCAAGAAATTATTCTTCATATTTTATACGATACTATAGGCATATATTGCATGAAAAAACCTTTGAAAATAAATATAACTTAAAATGTTTTCCATTTGAATATTTAAGTTAGTTGACAGGGATGTAGAGATAGTTACCGTGTTGTTCTTACTCTGTGATCACAGCAACAAAAAAATATTTTTTTTGTTTTATTTTTCATACTTATGTTTTGTAAACCCAATTTTGCGCCTACAGTTTTATTAAAATTTACTTTTGAACTCGTAGGAGTTATTTTATATATTTTACTAGTCGGTTATCCACCTTTTTGGGATGAGGATCAACATCGTCTTTACTCTCAAATAAAGGCTGGGGCATATGATGTAAGCATAATTTTTCCCCCTTAATTTCCTCCTTAATATATACACATATTATCTTATAGTATCCATCGCCCGAATGGGATACCGTAACACCTGAAGCAAAAAACTTGATAAATCAAATGCTAACAGTTAATCCAAATAAGAGAATTACTGCGGCTGAAGCGCTGAAGCATCCATGGATTTGCGTAAGTATTCCCTAAATTTTTGCAGATTAAAATATTGCCTTTTTATTTACTGTAAATTAAATGGCTTCTTTTCTTGTATAAAATTTATTTTATTACTTACAGCAAAGAGAGCGTGTGGCTTCGGTGGTTCATCGCCAAGAAACTGTGGATTGTCTCAAAAAATTCAATGCTCGGCGTAAACTTAAGGGTGCTATTCTTACTACAATGTTAGCAACCAGAAATTTTTCAAGTAAGTTGAAGACTAAGAATTGCATATATGTGCAGATATGTACGATGTCCGTAAAGAAAACATTTAGCATACAAAATTACAAATGCGTCACACAAGGTAAATTCCAAAGTAAACAAGACTTCAAAAAATAAAAAAAACAGAACAAATCAATTTATTTTATGAAAAATAGTATTTTTCTACTTCAGTACAGCTTTTTGCACAGTCCAAAGCATATCGAACGAGTGTTTTAGCTCGTTAGCCAATATGGCAACCAGTATGCCGGTGCAAGCCTTTTGAATGGCCTACGTCTGCATAACGCTTTCCTTTCATGGGCAAATGCATTTTTGCGAAATGAAAGAAGTCGCATAGTATCATGTCAGGTGAATACTGTATTGTACTGAATGATTAAAATGTGATTTTCGGTCAAATAATCGTCCTTCGAATGTTGGATTCTGAACAATTTTTGGTCGTCAGCCAATTTGTGTGGAAAAAACCATGCACACACCTTTCGTAAGCCCAAATGTTTGTTTAAAATGCGATAAATCGATGTTTTGAAGATGTTCAATTCCATTTTCATGAATTTCAATCATCAAAAAACGGCTGACTTTGGATGAATTCACTCACAGTTTCGATGGAATTTCCGGTGATCACGGATTGTCATTTATGTCCTCACGACCACTTTTAAAACGTTGAAACCACTCGTGGACTCTGCTACGTTATAGGCAATCGTCGTCATAAACTTGTTTCATCAATTGGAACATTTCGGTAAAAGTTTTACCAATTTTAAAACAAAACTTAATATTAGCTCTATGTTCGAAGCTCATTTTCGCACCGATAACACTAAAAACGCAAAAACTTCACTTCCAATCAATGAAATGTCGTGAAATCTCACTGGAAAATCGATAAAAATAGCAGATTTTAACGCACCAGTCGGCATATAGATGGCGCCACCAGGGGACGCTAGATTCAAAAAGTCCTGTTTACTTTGGACAACACCTTTTAAGCTTAATATGCTTAAAAAAATACAAAAACAAAAATTTCAGGTAGGAGTATGATTACCAAGAAAGGTGAAGGATCTCAAGTTAAGGAATCAACAGATTCCTCAAGTACAACACTAGAGGATGACGACGTTAAGGGTAAATATATAATTATTATTGGTCTCATGTGGCTTATATGTTGATAACGGTTTAAAGTATCTCTTTACCGCAAAAATTTAAGGTAACATTTTTATTTTATTTTAAGTTGAATCTTTCTGAATAAGGCTGTAGGGATTAATTTGTCCTCATCAATTGCAGGAAAGAACAGATATCCAAAAGTACAGCATACGACATAAATGAAAGTACCTCAGAAATTTGTTAAGCTTTATATGAAGTAGACAGTATCCTAAAGCTATTTTCTGAATTATTTAATCACGACAAACAATATATAATATTCATAACTACTTTGCTGTATGTAATATGTAATGGTATTAAAATATAGTTGACACTAATTTAGAACATCTATTAAGGAATATGTAATTTATATGTTAAGTATAAAAGTATCCCATCCTTTGTTTCAAAACTATGGTATATTAATAAAATTATTTCTTTTTTTATTGATTCTTAATGTTCATTATTTCAATTTAATTCTTAAAATAGTATTTATACTTTTCTAAAAATTTCGTTACTGGTTACTTTCATTCTTGATATGCTTTGCTTCTCGTTAAATAATCCGAAATGTACTACCAATGGTTGTACTATTGAATATTGATTTGCTTTGTTTTACGTATTTTGAGAAAATTATAAAAAACGATTTCTATACATTTATAAAGTGAATAAGAGCGAAAGCATAAACCGAAAGAGGGAATTAATATTCAGTTCAGTAACTTCCAGTTATTGTTGTTATACGAAATATACGTACAAATGCGTGTAATACTTGTTAATTGAATGATTTTTAAAAGATTGCCTGGTTAGTTATACACATTTATTTAAATTTTCTCAAATTGTTGTCGAATTCCAACTCAAAGGACGGAAATTTGGATGAAATCATCAATTTTCTTAAAAAGATTCTAATATTAAGTAATTTTTAGAATAAATCAGTTATAAAGTCATTTAATTCAATATTTTATAAACTTTTCTATTAAATGACTGCATTTAATGATTATAATATTATTTTAGACTTAAAATGTATATTTTCTGCGTGGCTTTATATTATTTCATGCATGCATGTTAGTATGAACGAAAATCTGGCATAAATCAAATATAAAGAAAATAGAGGTGAGGTAGAGCTCTAAAGTAGAGTATAGGAGCGAGTTAAAGACAACTTTAACTTTTTAATCCGCATTACTTCTATTTTTTACATATGTTTGTATTATAAGTTATTCTATTATTTTATTTTTCCATAATCTTTACTTGATATGAAGAAATTACGTTGAATATATAAATAAGGTTACTTTTAATATCCTAATTGCTTTACTTTCAAAAATGCAACAGCACGACTTATTGTTTGTTTGATTTATATACATATATCAAGTGGTTTCAACCATGATAATCTTTATTCAATCACCAATTAATTTTTGAACGCCTCTAATTATTAATGTGCTTGAAATATATATAACATATATATATAATTGAACATTGCTGCTCATTGTAAATATTACACAAAGTATAATTCGACTGCTCCTCCGAACTTGTATACACAACTCGAATTCGGTCTTCTCAATGCTTTATTGGAAATATAGGTTTCTAAATAAAAATTAAACGCTATCTACGTTACGTCATCGTAGAATATCCGAGCCAAAGCACGAAAAGACGTGAAATATAAATTTATCAAACCAAAAAATGCTACGAAAGCACAAATCAGATCTTTCCAGAAAATTGTGACGGGTCCGCGCAACAAAAGATGTACAGAATCAATAATCTTCTCTTCATGGGTACGACTATTCAAGCATGTGTTAGTGTAGAAAGGAAAGCTGAGCAACAGGAAGAAAAGCAGGGGCCATCGCTGGCCAGAATAATTTTATTTTGTAGATGCGATGCTCTCAATTGGAAAGAGGAGAAAAGAAATGCGCTGTTCGAGTGGTAGTGGATTCACATGAAGAATTCCCAAGCCTTAATTGTTCTAAGGACAATTCCCCTTACCGTTTTTAATATTAGAAATATATATATATATTTTTTAAGCTCTTTGCTTTTATGTTACAGTTAAAAAAATCTATTCAAAGTAATATATCTTCACATTTTCGGATTACGTTTTACCAATGGTAATTGTTCATAAAATGTTCCGCTAACTCCCTAAGTTTTCTTAGTTTGTGTGTTTATCAGTAAATAAAGTACTAATACAATGGTTGTTGTTTCTAATGAAAAGAAAAAACATTAATTGCTTCAAATAAACCTCAATATAAAACATTTCAACCGGATCAATATCATGTAATAATAAACTTTTAAGTGAGACGATTAAAAAGAGTATTTGAACTTGTTTAAATAATTATTTAAACGTAATAATCGCATTTCTGTGAAGTGATGTTAAAATTAAAAACATTATTAATGTTTTTTTTTCACAAATAAAAATTACTTTACCAGGTAGAAAACAAACATCATCCTGATGTAGTAAATAGTTTACTTCTGGCCCAAATACATTTTTTTTTTTTAAGTTATTGTGTATCAGTAAACCCAAACGATTTTTACGCATTGTATACTAGGGTGGGTCGATTCCGGACTTTTTTCGATTCGGGATTTCTAATAGTGCGGAAAAGTTGCCTTAGTACTTCCTGACTCCAATGCAACTTTTTGTTTTGAGATCGGTTTGCATCTTCAACCCCAACTCCGGTCTTCGGAAATTCGCCTAAAATCGTGAAATTGTCAACCTAGCGCCTGAAATACGCATCTCATGGCAAAATGCATAAAACAAAAGTTATTTGTCACGTCATTTGCGAGCGAAAATGCGGCGCGCCACAGCGCAAGGTGAAAATCGGCTTGCGGCCACACTTCTTGACGTTGATTTCG